CGTTGTCCAGAAGTGACAACAATTATACCCTGAAAATTTCAGACCTCTAGCTCACGTTCTTCTTGGGAAACGGACAGACGGACGGACAGACACAGGGGCGATGGCATAAGCCCGCTTATATAGCTTTTAAGCGAATGAGCGGGCTGAAAAGCAGTTTCAAGAACAAACAAAAGACTGTTCTCGCAACAAATATAGAAAATCTTTCAATTATTGTAATTCCCCTTTATACTCAACAAAGAGATTCATGAAGAATGGTCAGGGCGGTTATAAGCGCTGGATATTCAGAGGGTGAAGACTAGTCGACTTTTCCTAAATTATTGGCAGTAAAGTAAAAACAATGTCTCAATTTTTGAGCGCAAGGGGAAAACTTTGAGGATCTGCCCTGGTTTGAGGAAAACTCCTCAGATTTCGAGAAAGTCTGGTCAAAGAATGTGGTTTTTTTCCTCCTTGGGTATGAAAAAAAAGCCAAAGTTGACTATGGCATTCAAAAAAAAAAAAAGTGGGCACACGATTATTGGACATACTTGTATGGACAAAGTTGCGTGGACAGCTACAATATAGGACAAAATAAGTAGGACTAAAAGGTGTGGACGAAAGTGTCGTGGACGAAATGTCATAGAACCAACAAGATTTCGAAGATCCGAGCTCCCACTCATAAGTTACAAAATTACCCTATAAGCCGCATAACGGATCCTTATAATGGTTACGGATCTTACAAAATCGTATAAAATCAAACGTTTTAGACGAAAGAGACGACCGATCGGCAAGGGCGAGACGTATTTTGGGTCAGGTACACAACCCCGACACAACCCCCTTTGAACCTTATCTAAATTCGCAATAGGAACTTTGCAATAGAGTGCACGGATCTTTCACTCTATGCTTGACACGAACAGTTTTTAGGTGTTCTAGTCAGTCTAGGTGACGAACCAGAAAAGCCTCACCTGGTTGTCGTATGTTAAGTTTTGCTGTAGAAAAGTGGCAAAAACTGGCTTTTTGACTTTTGTTACCTTTCCAAGGAGGACATTTTTGGATCCAGTCGAGTAAAGACATCTGTAACTTTCTGGAGACGGGCCAAGAGTGAGAACATAGCCGAGCAGTTCTCGGCAATGGGTCACTTTCGTGTCCACGCTCTATTTCATCGAAATCTTAACCGGTCTGAACGATATTTTTTGCCATATCTGCGTCTTCGTACTAACTAAACAGAAAACAAATGTTACCTTGACAGTAAAGTCATCCCCTCAAAAGATATTTGAACGGAAAGGGTCTAAAATGTAAGATCCGTAACCATTTTGCATTTCCTCGTGTGATGAAGTAGAAACAGTTGTAACAAATAATGCTTCTCTGTTTTGCACGTTAGATGCTGACCTGGTAAAGTTTGTTCACTGCGTTGATTATGACTTGAAGAGAGCACAGAAGTGCGTTACGGACTTCTACAAAGCCCGAAACGATTGTGAAGACTTATTTAAGGGCTGGGACACAAATACTCCAGAAGTGCAAAGGATTTATCAATATTTGTAAGTCTTCGCATTGTCACGTTATATCTTTGAAGAAGATTTATTCCATTGTGACGTGTAACCTTTACAGAACACATATAAAAAATTAACTTTTGGGACCTACCCCCAGGATTTGCCGTAAGCGTTTCGTTCTCTAGGGGTGATCTATCCTTAAAATTTCAAGTCTCTATCACATCGTCTTCTAGTGAAACAGACAAACACGAGGTCGTTTGCATATGCCCGCTGGATAGCTTTTTCAAAAGAGAAGGGCAGGCTTGATAAATGAGGTGGTGTATCTGTAGGATTGCTGCGTCATCTATTATTTTTTCAGTGTCAATTTAGAGGAAACTATTGTTTTTCGTCTCATTTTGTGAGTCTGAACAAGTTGGCGTCGGTAAGAGTTTGATATTGTCTTAAAAGCTGAAAACAATGTGAACATTTACCTGTTGACCTGCATGTAGCACGTATAAACGTAGAGGAGGATGGGGTCCCTTGGGCCTGGGCCTTGGATTACACTCTCATTTGCTTAAGGATAACCAACACACACACACACACACACACACTCGCTGCTTGCCGCTAGTACGTCTTGCTGCCGCATCGCTTGCCAGGCGCGCCGCGCGGTTGGAGTAGATACACTACTGTGCGCGGGACGTACGAGTGTGGTCTGTAGATAGAATACTTACAAACCCCCTTAAAAAGGTACTTTGGGATCAAAATTTCGGAAACATTCTTGGTTGTACGTGTAGAGACGCACGTCTCTACCTCAAAACCACTCATAACTCAATTTGGTCAAAAATGTCAGTTAGAACATTGTGAAAACGACCCTTTCTAGATAGGACATTGTGAAAATGACGCGCTGTATATAGAACGTTGTTGTTAAAACGCGTCGAAGCGCTCTGTTTTCTGTTGCAGTTTCAGTAGTTTGACAAAATTGAGACACGATGTAGTCAGAATAAATTTCTTAGTACCATACTGACGCAGAGGGCGAGAAAATGAGACAGACATCCAGAAAACAAGGTAAGGGATCGTACCCAAACCACGTGATGGGTTTTGGGGGAGGGGGGTCTGTGGAAATACCACTCACCACCACCAGGGGGGAGGTTTTTTCGGCCAAGTCACCTGCTCGAATAAGCACGTTTTTTTAAAAAAATCCCAACACAAATCCGTTTATTGCGTGATAAATCACTGAAATCTGACGGTGTTCAATTGAAGTCATCACTAAATTAAGTTTTGAATATCAGCAAACATGCACTTTTTTAGCCCGCCCTTCTGCTTTTAAAAAAGCATTAAAGCGGGCTTATGCAACCGCTCTCGTGTCCGTCCGTCCGTCTGTCCGTCGTCCGTGTAAGAGGAAGGAGATGAGCTAGAGGTCTGCAAATTTCAGGGTATCTTAGGGGTCACTCCTGGACAACGAAACGCCTGGTGCAAATCCTAGCAACCACCCCTAAGGGGGTGAAAGGGGGTAACAAAGAAATAGGGGTTGGTCCAAAAAGTAGAAAAAAAATATTTTTTTTTTGTGGTCTCCTAAGGGGTAACTCGTGAAAGTAGAGCCCTCTGGGCGAAAATTTTGTCCGTTTGACTCTATATTGAACCGTTTCGGCGCTAGAGTGTTTTTTTCGACAAAAAATGACCACGTTGCACATAAAGACGTACAAGGAGGCGTCCAATCGTAAAATGTCAGAGGAAGTACCCCCCCAAAACAATACATTCTGAATCAGGAACTACCCTCGCATTAGCCGTATCTTTTACTGTTTCGGCCCTAGAGGTGGATATATTGAAAACAATGGCAAAAAGTCAAGTTTTAAGACTCTTTGACAAACAATATACAATCTAAAAACTGCGCGGGTTAATTTTTTTTTTAATTTCTAAGCAAAGCAGAAGGGTGGGGTGTAGTCACGGTGTTGCCCCGTTACAGTCTTTTGTCATTTCCAAGGAGCAAATCTCTAGGGCCGCAGGCCCCCCGCCGAACGCTTTAGTTTACTCAAATATGCAAAGTAATTTACCGGTCACATTATTTATTTGATTATGCACTTCAGTAAATCGCGAGACTGAAATGGTCGGGCCGAAGGCCCGACCATCGCCGCCGGCAGGCCAAGCAGGCCCGGCCCCTGCCGAACGGAGTTTCCGGCGCAGCGAAGTGGAGCTGGCAACTCCGTTTGGCGGAAGGGCGGGCCTGCTTGTTTTAAAATGCTCCATATACTTGTAAATACGTCAAATAACACATATGCTGAAAACCATGTGAAAATGGAGGGGGGGAGGGGGAGGGGGGTCCCCAAAACCACCACAGACCACCACAGGGGGGGAAGAGGGGAGGTCAAAACCCGCCAAAAACCCGTCACGTGGTTTGGGCACGATCCCCAAGTTACGTATTTGTGCTGTGCATGGATATAGGTAACATATAGGTAACATTGTTCACATTGTTGTCAGCTTTATTGAAGACCCCAAAATAATTCCAACCGTCGCAAACATGTGGGAACGCATCAGACAAGATGGACAACAATAGATTAATCTTCAATGTAAACTGGCTAATAATTGACATAGCAAGCATACGGAGATGCATCACATGGCCACTTTGACTTTAACACTCATAGACGAGGCGCGTACCTTCGGCACTGTTGTGCGTTTTCTTTGTTGTTGGACACATTTTTGTGGGCCCATATTTTCGTACAAAGTAATACGCAACGGCGCAGGTACACTGGAATACAGAAATACTTATGAAGGAGTTTACAGTGTTCTAGCACAATGTTGTGACTATCAGCAAGCTTATCCTAGGCGATGTGCCATTTTCCATTGTTTTTGGTTTCTTACTTTTCCAGGAACATTGCTGTACTTCCACGCCTGACGCCAGATAACTGCCGTGTCCTTATGTACTCCATGAATGCCAATGCGCTGTCCTATTGCAGCGTTTCAGATCTCTTTAAGGCGATTTTCATGGGCTTGGAGACAATATTTCTTACGGAACCAACAATTACTGGCGTGATTTTCATCCAAGACTTGGGAAACATTAGCATGTACCAGTTAATCAAAGCAATGTTTTCCATGCCTCCGAAAATATTTCCATATTTGGAGGTAAGTAAATGATCATGACATTACATCATCAAAGTATGGAATGCTTTTTTAGAAGGATCAGTGTACAAAAGCCGTAACTTTATAGAAATATTTTCATAAGAATTGTCGCAGTTCCACGATCCGCTTTAGTAACTGTCCAAAACATAAATATTGTAGTTGGACAGTTACAAAAATGCGAGGAGTCCGTCATATTTGATTTTTTCGCGTTCAAAGACTATCGGTCAAAACCAGGGTTGTTAACGTTAATTTAACGGGTAACGACGTTACGACGTTTTCGTTAACGTTATTTTAACGTTAACGTAATACGTTAATTTTTTGGCAGCTAGGGAAACGTAACGCGTTTGCGTTAACCGGGTCCCGAAACGTCGTAACGACGTTGACGTTAAAAATTTGGGCAGCTGGTCAGCGAATATTGTAGTTTTCGTGACATGCAGTACAAGTGCGACTAGCGAACGAAGAAAGCCGAGCCTCAAGTTGTGCTGAAAGTAAAACTTTGATAATAAAAGTTATTTTTTTATCATATTTCTTAACTTTAAACAGCCCTCTGCTCTTAATTTTCAATATTTTACGTTCTTTTTATTATTCTGCATCAACGTCAACGACGTTACGACGTTTAACGAAACGTAACGCGTTAATTTTGTCACAACTGGCGAAACGTAACGCGTTTACGTTAACTCAAATCTCAGATTAACGAAACGTAACGCGTTAAATTTCATTTTTAACGTTAACAACTCTGGTCAAAACTGACCGAATTTCTAATATTGACCGAAAATTGACTGAAAATGACTAAAAATTACTGAAAAACGGTTTAAAAATGACGGAAAATGTTGGATATGGTGAATTTCGGGACACCCGATCAAAATATTATTGAGATAACCAATAATTTGTTGTCAGAACCAAGATTAGTTGCCAGAACAAGATGTTCGGTGCTTGAGCTGGCGCATTTATTCTAAAAGCAAACCACGACTTGGCTCCTGTAGTGACGTGCTTTGTTTTATACCAAATCAAGGTTTTGACAGCTGAAATATTCGTTACCACACCTAATATTTATCGATCGTCCCGAAATTAACTATTTTTTACTTCTGATGACCAATTCCTTTTTTCTTCGTCGTTTGTGAAAAACCCCGTAACTATCTTCCGAATGCCAAGTTGTATCTTTACAACATATTTCGTAATATCATCAGTAACTTCGTACTTTTACGACATAAAATTATACTTCTTAGTTCTAAAATTCATTAGTAAATTTACAGTTTGAAGTTTGTAGCTTCACATGCTTGTGTTGTTATCCAAAATAATATAACTTGTCGTAAAGTTTCGAACATTTTTTTCGCAGTCATGCTATACGAAGAAATTAATTGCCATAGATTAAAACCAAACTGTACTCTAAAAAAAGTTACAAGTTCTAGTATCAATTTTGAAACAAAATTTTGTAACCTTGGATGCTGATTCAAAAATTTCTAATGTTGTGACAAAATTTTGTAATTGTTTCAAAAAATTGTAACCGACGTACAAACTTTAACGATACGAGTGCAAATTTTTGTAACTGTGGCAGGTTTTTGTAATTGTTACAAATATTTGTAACATTGTTACAGTTTGTCCTAATCCTGGTATTATTTTTCGTTAACTTGATATAAAAATTTGGAACATAGGATGTACCATATGGTTCAGAAATGTGCTGTTGCAGCCAGCCACCAGCCAAAAACCAAAACCAAAAAAACTTGTACACTCTCATGTAAAACTTAGTGTGAGAGCAGAGAAGGGCTGCCTTTGCTGCCTTCCGAAGGGAAATCTCTTCAATCGAGAGATTTTAAGATTTTGTGTGTCGCTAGTAACTGCCGCTAGATGGCGCAACGGTCAGAGCGTCTATAACAATAACCATCTTTTTTGGGCATAAAACTCAAATTTTGACACGCAACTAACATTTAATTTTACGCTGTATGCTCTACAAGACAATGACCTTGAGTGAATATAAAAGTTTTTGTTCAAAAAGTCAACCATGCGTCAGATAATGGTTTAATATCAACGCGCGAAGGGTACCTGCCAACTCTCCTCAGTTGGGTATGGTAACGTTTTCCACATGTGACTGTAGCGGTTTCTATACGCTACTTCATTTTTGTATCAGTGGCTTGCAGTGTCACTGGTTGGTTCCGTCCTCCTCGGAACAATCATTGCTACCAGGAAAATGCATGACTTAGCAACGTAATTTTGCTAAAACCGACTTTTGAAATGCTCGAACGGTTAGTTCACTGTACACTGCTGATGAAGTTATTAGCAAACTGATTTGACCCTTCCTGAAGGGCAATGACGAAATTTTCAAGCACTGGAATACGAACTAGTTCTTCGCAAGCTTGCAGACTATTTCTTTGCAATGCAAACATTTATTGTTTGAATGGATTCTGTCAGCTTGCAAAGGGCTTCTTTGCAATACGAACTAATTCTTTGAAATACAAACGTTTGCAATTGTTTGCAACATTGCAAAGAACGGCAAAGAATATAGTTTGCAAGCATTTTACAGTACGCCTGTGCCGACCAGGCCAACACACTGGCGGACCTGGGAAGAAACGGTCATCACTGGCAGATCTGCTTTTCGGCTCACCTGCACAGTCAACTTTGGAGGCCTCTTGCTACTGCTGTATGTAGGTACGTCGTACAGTATTGACTATTAGCTCATTCTAATGTGTATGTCCTCGTGATTGAATTTTCACCTCACTCAGTACTAACCGACATACCAACGATGAGCAATAGGCCTCAAACGTTGACGTGCAGGTCAGCCAAAAAGCAGTGACGGCTGTCTCTTCCCAGATCCTCTAGTGTTGGCCTGGTCGGCGCAGAATCGCTAGTGTTTCACGCCTCTTCACAGATACGCCACTTCTGCAGGCATGCGTCAAGGGTGTCTCAGTAGTCAATAGCCTTTGCTTCTGTTAAGAGGGAGGGGGAGGGGACACTGAAAAGTTTTCCTGAACCCAAATTAAATTTCCCCGAATTTTCCTGGACTTCCAGACACCGTTTATTTATCGTGACTTTTTTTCTGTCTTCCTTCACTTCCCCGACCAGTACCAGGATGAACTCTGGAAAAGAAACAGGTCAAACCAAATTTAGAGCAATGCTTTTTAGTTCCTTGCGATACGTGTGTGTGTGTGTGTGTGTGTGTGTGTGTATGTGCGAGGGGTGAACAACCCCCCTGCTAAGTGTACACCCCTACGTTTGCTCAATACAAACTACAAACTAATTCAAAACAATTCAGTTTAATTGAACACAATTTAGAAATAGTTCAACCCAGTTCAAAAACAAAACAATTCAGTGTCATTATAGAAAATTTCCATTCACGTCAAGAAATTTGTAGGACGAATTCAGGAGTGATTTACCCCTTGGTGTGTTTGTGTGTGCGTGAGAGAGAGAAAGAGAGAGAGAGAAGAGGGTGCGGTTCAATGCAAAGTTCCTGTTAGGGCGTATTGATTATAATGATTGATTTTTATTTCGTGCAGGATGGAATCCCACTGAAGCGCGATGTTGCGCATATGATAAATTGTCCAAGACTCATCGATTATGCAATGAGAGCCATGAGAAGCATAGGCAGACCAGAGGACTATGAAAAGGTACAAGTATACTGCAACTTGGGACTGTCTCAAATGTATACTTTTGAGATATTTTTGGCTGAGCGATTAGCGAAGCCTATTTGGCTGAGCGATAGTGAAGCCTATTACTCCAGTGATGATCAAAAAGTTTCGCGTCTGTCTGTCTGTGTGTGTGTTTGTCTGTCCGCACGATAACTCGAGATCGAATGAGTGATTTTGGCGGTTAGAAGAACAAGAAGAAGTTCCAAGATGGCCGCCTCGGACCACAACAAACATTCAACTGTTTTCCCGAGCAGACGCTCGCGCTCGGGAGCCCCAATAACCTACCAAATGTTATATCGCGCCTGTTGGAGTCAAACTTGGTTTTGTTAGAATCAGAAGAACACGATGAAAACGATATCGGACCTTCAAGAATGCTATTTAGTGTTAATCTTTGAAAATAATAGTTCATGTTCACAATTTTAACAAACTAACACCATATCTTATTAACGAACCTGAAAAATTCGTCACATATGTTCAAATGCTATTTTA